AGATTAATTTTCTGACTTGCCATCGTCATACGTAAGTTGAGAACATTCTATATTAGAATCCACCGTGCTAGCTAAGAATAAGTGATAAATTTAATGGTCAAAGCTCAAAGAGAGTATTGCAGTATGTTATACTTATAATTTTAACTGAATTTGAAATCTGGCCTTGGAAATATAGTACAAGTTTCAACAAAATTCACGCTATGTTTGCACTACATGTAGAGCACAAACTTGCATTAGTTTGTACTTGTTGAAAAATACCAAATTGCATAGCAAATTTTACCATTGTTGTTTACCGAATTTCTACATTGGATTTTACCGATTTTCATATGAAAATTCTAGTTTGACAAAGATATTAAATCTGAAACTTTTTTTAAAACTAGGTTAACAATGAAATATTGATAAAAAAAGAGTTAAAATAACAAAAAAAAAAACGTTGGTCGTCGGCTCCTCGTCGCCTATTAACTTCCGGCTGGTGAGAACTGCCGCCGGTCTGGGCGTGGAAAGCGTCTCATCGGACGACGGACGCTTATCCCACATATTGACCGAGCACGTACGCCCTTCTGATATAACGCGTGGTGGAGGGCGTCTCCTGCTTGCCATGTCTCTTGGTCGTCGACTCGGCGTCCCACCCACGCCGCCGCCGGAGCAGCTGCAGAGGAGGAGGCTGTTTGGCCACAAATCGGTACATCTGCCATGGGCAACTGTGCTCCCGGAGGTGGGTGCCGCCACAAGGTTCACTGTCTCACTCCATCCCTCTCGTTCTCTCTCTAATCATCTTTCGTTTGCCGTGCTACAAACATATACTACATAGGATACCTCATCGACCGGCTGCGGAACAAGGCGGACGAGCAACCACAGGCGTCTGCCGCTGAACCCAAGCCTGCCAACACCCAGGCTCCCGGAGGTAGTACTACGCCACATGCATGCTCCACGGAACCACAGCAACGCACCACACCATAAATCCATAATCAGAGTTTGTTTGATCTTTTGTTGAATATATATGGTAACTTGGCCTTTTGGCTTTTGACACGAACAAGATTGCTTCGTCGGAACGCCGGGGAACCTCGGGCCGCAGGGGGCGACGGCGGCGACCGAACCAGCACAGCCGGCCGGTGAGCTCAATAGATCAAGAAGCTTCATGGAATGGTACTCCTGCTGCTGAACGCACATCTCCTCAATTTGCTTAATTTACTATTTTCTAAAAGTCATTCTATTTCTGATTATTCTATCATTTGTTGCAAAAGCAGGAGCAATGGCAGTAGTAATAATAAAGAGAAAAGGGTGCTGCTAACAGGCTCTACAGGAGTAAACGCATACAACATGGAGAACAAGCGCAGCCGAAAAAGTGACAATCTAAAGAAGCTACCATTCGAATTGATAAAACTGATTACAAATGATTTCTCCGAGGAGCTTGGGCGCGGTGCGTTGGACAAGTCTTCAAGGTAAAACTGATAAACATGAAGACTATGGTTGTTTATATGTACGTGGACAAAACAAATGGTGCTTATAGCTATTTATTTACTTTTTTTTTGTTTCAAATCCAACCCATACGAGCATAAAAACAATACAACCTTTGTATGAGTACCTACAAAAGTTAATCCTGAATAGGGAGTGCTGGAAGATGGAGAAGAGGTTGCTGTGAAGATGCTCCATTTCATGCCTAATATCAGTGACCAGCAGTTCGAAAACGAATTTGAAATCCTTAAGCATCTAAAGCATCCCAATATTGTCCGACTAGTAGGGTTCTGCGATGAAGCTAAAGAAGAACTCGTAGAGTACAATGGTAAACTAATAGTTTGTCAAAGGATACACAGGGCACTCTGCCTTGAGTATATGCCCAATGGAAGCCTTGGAAAGCTCCTTCATGGTTGGTGATTATCACGGTATTGCATGAATATTTTGTCTGCCATGCATGTGAATACAAAATTATTCATTGATAATATCGTGTTTGCTCTTGCAGGTACAAATCTTGGCAAGGATTGGCCGACACGCTATAGAATAATTAATGGAATCTGTGAGGGTTTAGAATATCTTCAAGAGGGATTGGAGTTTCCCATTTTCCATTTGGATCTAAAACCGGATAATATACTGCTAAACCAAGAGATGGTGCCAAAAATATCAGATTTTGGGTTATCTAGGCTCATTGGTGAAGAGAATTCCAAAAGGACATTGACTCCTCTAGGGACAATGTAAGAATAATGCTCAAGTGAATAGTATATATATTCCTCAATCTCACCTTACCTATGTCATTAATGTTCTGCTGCAGTGGATACTTACCGCCAGAATTCATTAATCATCAAGTAATCTCAAAGGAGTATGATATATACAGTTTAGGTGTTATAATTACAAAAATTATCACTGGAATTACAGGCTACTCAGATGTTGTCGACATGGGTGCCGAAGAATTTGTTGAACATGTAAGAATATGTTATTTTTTACGTACGAGTTCCATTAGGACCTCATTGCACCAAGTTCGCATCACAGCTTGTGACATAGTAACAAAATACCGTTAGATTTACCATGTGTTAGTTTCCCATATGTTGTATACTAATTTTTTTTTTTGAAAAGGATAGTTCCTGGCCTCTGGTTAAGCATGCAGCCTGACTTATATTACAACGTTTCTAGCTATCCAGCAGCTGCATATGGAAATCAAACATTACTTGAAAAAAATTAAAAATTAAAGGAAGCCAAGTCTATTATTAATCTTCCATCCTTTGGAATAAAAAAAAAATCCATGCAACTGCCTCCACATGCAGAACAAATCATCTCTCCCTTACTTCACTCTGCAGCAATGTCTAAAATCACTTTAGTCCTAATGCTTTTGTCAACCTTTGGCTAATACTCCATCTAGAACACCAAATAAATGTTGCACCAATACATATTTAGTCTGAACTCATAAACTAATTTAATACCATAAATATTAGTACATTTTTCTATAACTCGGTTGAAATTACAGAACGTTTGGCTCAGGACAAACTAAATTGGAAATACATTAGTCTTTGGAACGAAGGGATAAATTATAGCGCAGACTCTTCAATCTACAAGTTGTGCTTGTTATTATATTGTTTAATTAGTTAGAGTTATTAAAAAAGCTCGAGTTTTGTAGTGCAAGAGGCTCACCTTCTGATCACCTAACTGCGCCAATAATTTCCTACGGTCTGTTGTTATTGATTCACGTATTCAAAACATGAACCCATATTTGCAAGAGGGCAGTCGGTACTATGTTTTGTTGCCAGGTACGCTTCCAATTTTCATTGATGTTAACTGTATCTTGTACTGCTGTACTCTGTGTTTTGACTTCCAAGGTTCATGAGAAATGGAAAAAATGTCTACAAGAGATACCCAAGTATGCATCACTTGAAGTAGATTGCAGACAAGTGAAAAGATGTATCGAAATTGCAAGAAGGTGCATGGAGAATGATCGCCATAAAAGGCCTATAATCAAGGATATTGTTAGCCAATTGGATGAGATTGACATGGAAAATTTTGAACTTGGCCCAACGCTGCAGCGCAGAATGGTACGATTTATTAATCTGTTGTATGCAAACTATCGACCGTATGCTATTTTTCCAAAAAAAAAGTATATCTTTGCCCATAGTAAATACAAAACTTTTAGTACATCATATGGCACTGGACTTGGACTATATATGTATTTTAGTACTACACTGGAAATACTATAACAAAATGTTAGTTTTATTTTCAAATATAAAAATGACAAAAATATATACTCCTATGCCACATAATATTGATTTTTTTCCATCTTCCATTCAAAGATGACCAGTCTTCTTCAAAACAGAGCAAGAGGGCAAACCAAAAGATCCTCGATCTACTCTCTCAACCCCTGAAACAAAATGGATTTTTAGTTGTCTCAAACATTATAAGTTTGACCCAATTTAAAATTTCTCTAATATTTACTACACTACTAAATGAACTTAATTAGATACATAACTTATCTTTTTGATGTGGTAGATCATAACATTATTTTCTACCGACTGAGTCAAACTTAATGTGATGACTTGGTTCAATTGAAAATGCATTATATAAGTGAAAATATTGATGGAACAGGTACCATAGGATTAGGAAGGCGTATAGATAATATCGAATTAGAATGTAGTGTCCTGTGCCCAGCTATATATATTCAGGGACATGGCAAGTTTTTTTTTTTTGGTCTCTATTTTCTGTTGGGGGGGGAGGATACTATATTTATTTATTTTTCGATCAATTCGGGAGAAGTTCCCACCTACTATATATTGAAACGGAGGAGCTAAAAGCTCAAACGGATACAGCATACTTTTGGCATACCAGAAGGTGTACAAAGTGTAGAAAGAGGGTGTGTGGAGAGACAAAGCAGAGAGAGAAAATCAGGAAATATTCAGCATATTCGCTTGTTGGTTTCAGCCAGTCCAAACCAGCTAGCCAACAGTATTTTTCTCTCACAAAAAACCAGCACCAGCACCAACCAGCGAACATGCCCATTACAGCAACTAAGTACATGTCATAGACAAGCCATGGCACATGGGGAGGAAGCCACGAATTAAGGGGGTTGGTGGAAGAGGTGGATCAACCTGGGATTTGATTTAGTGACACCACCAACAAGGAGAGCGCTGACGGAACACATGTGCCGAAGACAGACACTCGCAGAGTCATGGTAGCAACCACCAGCCTAAATTAGGAAGGCTCAACAGAAGAAAGATGTGGAAGGAAGCAGGAGGCATCTCACAAGGGCGAAACAAGGGGGCAAGACTTAGCAGGAGCTGCTGTTTGTGCGAGGGAAGGTGAAGGACCTCCCCACGCACCTGGCACGACACTTTCGCTGCATGTTAGCCAATTGATGAGCACCAGGAGCGAAACGAACCAAGCAGAGGTGAAGCGCCTCCCCGCGCACCTGGCGCGATACTTTCGCTGCTCGGTTGGCCCAGCCAGCGCAGATCCGATGCCACTGAAGCCGAGGTGAGCAGCAGTCCCACGGATGTAGGTGAAGTCGCTCGGGACCGGCACCCATGGAGGAAGGTGAGGGTAGGGGGCGAATCTGGCCGGGGCTAGCCAGATCTGGCCAAGGGCCCAACGGAACCGGCCGATCAGAGCCCTAGGGAAGTGCCGAGGCGCTGACGACGGGACGATCGCTCGCACTGTTGCAGTCGCGAGAATGAGCTGCAGATGCCGCTCGGTCAACCAATACCAAAGGAGGAAGGTGAGGACAGAGGATAGGGAGCAGCCCCCGCTTGCCGTGCAAGCGACAGCAGAGGCCAGAGAAGCCAGAGTAGGCGGCTCACACAGCCCGACCTCCATGCCAGGGCCAGCCACCGCCGAAAAGACAGATCCAAGCCGAAGGATGGTGGATCCGCGCACAGGGACGACAGATCAGGCCGCGGACTGCGGACGCCGAACTCGATGGCGGTGGCGGCGGTGCCATTTTCTGGCCGAAGCCGCACGCGCGGCAAGAGGAACGCTCGGCCGACCTCCTCACGGCCACCGGCTTCCAGCGGCGAGGAGAGGACCCTAGGGAGAAGGGGTGACCCGGCGTGGGGGGGGCTGTTAATTAATTATTTCAAATCTTATCCTTGTTTAATCGAATTGATTGTCTGTAGGGCCTTCCGTGGACTTTTGCGGCCCCGGGGTATTACCGTGGAAGGCTTGCAAGGCCTGCAAGGGAATGGTCGGACGGGTATACAAGGTATTGTAGAAATTTTAGATATTATATATATATATATATATAATGACACATAAAAAATATCTCTTGTTACCATTGGTTAATAATTGAAATTAATAATATGTATGACGTATGAGAGAGAATATTTCCTTTTTAAATTAAGTTAGAGAGTTGATCTAAATTTGTTTATTATTTATTTAAGTTAAATTTTGAACGCGTGAATAGGTTATATTTCAGCGCGACGGAACCATTGAGTATGGAGGAACTAATACTAAGTTGGAGGACATCAGTTCACCTTTTTTTATATACTTTATTTAAGATAAATTTTTAACACTTGTATATCTTAGTGATTTGTCTATGGAGGAAGCACTCGGCTCGTCGAACAAGGATCCTCCATCGTATTTCAGTACGGCTGAACTAGGAACCTCCGAGATCTGGCATCCCGCCCGCCCGGAGCACAAGCTGAAGCTGATGACAGACGCCGGCGCGCCGTTCTTGTGCGACGGCTGCAAGGAGCCCGGTTACGGGCCCAGGTACAGGTGCGACTACGGCGGGGGCCAATCCTTGGACGACCTCCACACGCGTTGCGCACTCGCAGGGGATCCTCTGGTGCATCCTCTGTTCGGCTACGGCAAGCAGTTCGAGTTCCGGTTCCTCCATGAGGCCCCGTCGTCCCCGGTCCACGAGGGCAGGAGGGTCTGCGACGCTTGTGGCGAGGCCACGAGGGGTTTCGTCTACCACTGCTCCGAGCAAGACCTCGACCTCCACCCGTGCTGCGCGGCCCTGCCGGACCGCATTATCCTGGACGCCCGTGCCTTCGATCTCCACCGGAGGGCATCACGGCCGTGTGCATTGTGCCCGGAGAACGAGGGCCAACGCCGTTGGTTCTGGGCGTACCGCTGCGACGTGGACGGCGAGGCTGTAGACCTGCACGTGGCGTGCCTCAAGGAAACGGCTCGCCGCAGCTGGGAGGCCAGCAACCGAAACCAGGACGACGTGGGTGGTGGCGCCCTGAATGTCGACCACATGCTTGAGAACATGCTTGGCGAGATTGCAGGGACCGTTGCTAGCTTCATCACGGCGCTGGTTTTTGGGAACCTCAGTGCCAAGATGTAGCCGCCTTTGCAGCGCACCATTTGTTTCTGGGAATCTCGATGGAGCCTAAAGCCACCGTATTATACCAAGATGTGTGTGACGACCATTGTTTGCTTCTACTACTCTATCTGTATCTGTATGTATATGCACGGACTAGTTTGTTTAAACTGGTAGACACCTATGTGTTATAAAAAACATTTCAGGCATAATGAATAAATATTAATATTTTGTTACTAGCCAATTCATATTTATCATGTAAAAAATAATTGATCTTTGCAATGATTCAATAGGGTACGGTATGTCAACATATCCTGGCCTAACTCAAATATTTAGGTGTATAGTATATATGGCTTATTGCTATGTTGATATCTCCTTTGTTCGTACTACAAAAAAACATATATTATAGATATAAATTAGATGAGAGCATTTAAAAAAATTTTGCACACAATGTCTATAAATAAATGTTAGCATGCACATGGCTGTCATCTCCCTTTCTCACCATCTTCATCTTATTCCCCACCTCCCATCTTATTGTTCTCCCACCCCCTTTTTCCTACCTGTTTTCTGTCTCATGCAACTCCCATTCATCTTCTTAACCCTTTTCTCTCTATCCCCCATTCCCTCCTCTTAAACCAAAGCAGGTAAAAAATTGATTATCATTTTATAAATATGATGACATGACAATAGGCAGGTAAATATGAAATCTTATCATATTGTTCTAACACATTTGAAGGACTAAATTTAACTCATTGTAAATATCGGTCTTGTGCAACACTCTATACTATCTTTTATCATGTGTAATTCAAGAACTTGATTAAGGTTATTATCATCTTTATGGTTTCAAATCATGCAATGAAAAGATCGGTTCCGTCAATGCCTCATCCTTTAATGATGTGACCATATCGATTCTTGATGACCCTTTATCAAACTGAACTTACTATAACCAAGCTTGGACATATGCATAAATGTAATTTGTAAAAAGTTGCATAATGGTATTCATTATTTAAATATTGCAAGGATATTGAGTCCTAGCATTTTTAAATAGATTTATATATGGTCCTTGCAATTAAGATATATGCTTGCTTTAACTTCATCCTAACAAACTTAACTAACTTGAGTTTAGTAACACTGTGTTTAATGAAGAAACAGAATAAGAATGCGGACACATGGTTGATATGTGCCCATGTGGTCTTGTGTGATGAGTGATTGTCAACATGATTCGCGTCTTGGGTTGAGTTGGTGAACTAACCATGGCGTGAGTTGGTTTGTGCAACATGTCACTTGACTTGTGGTGCGCAGGTGTGGAGCTCGGAGGCGGTGGTCGATGGCGAGGTGAAGGTCAAGTAGAGACAGGCCGTGCCGATGGACCGGGAGCGGTGAAGGTCGGACGTGAGGCTTGGACTGAGGGACCGGAGCGTTGGAGGACCAGCCGCGGTGGCTGACACCTAGGGACATCGACAAGCACAAGTGTACATGGAGGAGTGACCGTGTTGACCGAGTCAAGACAGCGGACGTGCAAGTCGAGCGGAGGCTCTGTAAGACTTGGCGGCCGGGCAGTCGAGGACGGCGGTGACACTGTATCAAAAAAGTATATATAACCGCTCCTCGACACGTGTCACCGTCGTCCTCGACCGCCCGGCCACCAAGTATTCTAGAGCCTCCGCTCGACTTGCACGTCCACCGTCTTGACTCGGTCAACATGGTCACTCCTCCATGTACACTTGTGCTTGTCGATGTTCGCAGGTGTCAGCCACCGCGGCTGGTCCTCCGGCACTCCGGTCCCTCAGTCCAAGCCTCACGTCCGCCCTTCACCGCTCCCGGTCCATCGGCACGGCCCGTCTCTACTTGACCTTCACCTCGCCATCGACCACCGCCTCGAGCTCCACACCTGCGCACCACAAGCAAGAGACATGTTGCACAACCCAACTCACACCAAGGTTAGTTCACCAACTCAACCCAAGACGCGAATCACATTGACAATTACTCATCACACAAGACCACATGGGCACATATCAACCATGTGTCCACAATCTCCCCCTTGATGAGTGCATTGTCAACACCAACACACAAACCACATAGATAAAGAAGTAGAAGAAGGGGAAGGAAGAAGGAACTTACCCAAATGACCAAAAGCCAATGAAAAGCCAAAACAAGGTCATTTGAGGTAAGTAAAACCTGCAAAACTTGGTCCCCAAAGACATGGGCAATGGCTCGACGCAACCAAGTAAACCACAGCTAGTCCTCAAGAAGAGGCAGAACAGGCTCAACACCACTAGCAAAGCTCAAAGCACCTAAAAAACAGCTAGACCCTCCAAAAGAGGAAAAGGCTCAACACATCTAGCAAAAGCAACTCAAGTGCAACTCCCCCTAAACAAATGCAATCTCTCAAATGTATGTACTCTCAACAACATACTCTCCCTTTGAGTGGTTTGTGTGAAACATTTTCCCCCTTGTTGATATATGAACTTATCAAGCTAAAGCCCAAAGACTGCAACTCCCCATCAAAGTATGCTGAAAATGCATAGGGATGCAGAAAATGCAGAAGCTTCAGGAGTATATTATTCAGAATTGGAGAATGCTCTAAGGGATACTGTCATGTGAGTAAGACAATAAATCTGAAGGCTGGCAAATGCTCAAACTAATCATATGGTACAATAGTGAATTGCAAAGCATTTTGAGCCAATTTTAATCTTGAAAAAGCATTCACCACAGAATTAGCACTTAGCATGTATAAGCAAAAAATCAACAAGTGCTTTCAAATCTATACAAGGTGAACTACCTCAAGCTAGTGTCTAATCAACATGCCACAAAAGAATTCAAACTTGTGTTTTACATCAAATTCTCATTTTAGTCATTTTGCACAAGTAACATAGAAGGCATGTGATTGCGAGAGGTTGTAAGCACTATCCTGCCTAACTTTTCAACCGGGCGAAGCCTATGTCAAAAGACAATCAGAAGCTCAAAGCATCGGTCTCGGTCATACACTACACTGCTCAAGTTCATCTCTAAGTGCAATAAGAAGCAGTTTTGATACAGTGATGTGTGATAATGCAAACCCTCTCGATCTTTCTGTTTCAATTATCTTGGAGTCATAATTTTAACTGATTATCGGAGTAATACAAGTGGAAGCGAAAGACTCCAAGACTGAAACATAGTAACCTAACATAAACATGATAGAACAAGGATCTCACACATCCTACACATGCTAGGAGCCAGATTCAGTGGTGAACCAAATTTGTAGATTTATCAATTATAGATCAAGTTCACATTGAAAACAGACATAGCTCATCAAAAGTGTAACATATGATCAAAAAGAGCCTAAGCTAGCCATACCAACATCATGTATCACATAAGCATCTATCACTAAGAGCATAATCTCATTCTCAAGGATATACACATGAAGCTCACGATGCACTATAACACATGATGCAATGCAAAAGGTGTATGATACAAAAACAAAACAAAGACTAGAACTAGAAAACCAAGAAAAACAAAAAACTATAGTACAAGAACTAAAACTTCCCTCCTCTAAAAAGGGAAGCAAACACCCAATTCCCCTCGCAAGCGGGCAAAGGATGCTAGGTCGAGGGATTTTGTAAGGATATCTGCAAGTTGGTTTTGGGTGTCAACGTGGAAAAGGTCAATGTCTCCTTTCTCATAATGGTCACGCAAGAAGTGAAAGCGCACATCAATGTGTTTGGTCTTGGAGTGGAGAACTGGGTTTTTGGCTACACTTATGGCACTTGTGCTGTCACAAAGCAAAGGCACTCTAGTGAAATCTAAGCCAAAATCAATCAAGGTGGCTATCATCCAAAGCAGCTGGGAGCAACAGCTAGCGGCAGCGACATATTCAGTTTTTGTGGTGGATTGTGCTACGCTGGATTGCTTGCGAGAAGACCAAGATACCAAAGAAGAACCAAGAAACTGACAAGTCCCCGACGTTGACTTTCTATCTAAGAGGTAGCCAGCAAAATCTGCATGAGAATAACCGTAAAGAGAGAGCGAGGAAGAAGTAGAATACCAAAGCCCAAACTCAGGAGTGAAATGAAGGTACCTCATGACCCTTTTGACAGCTTGGTGATGAGACATGCACGACGAATCTTGAAAGCGCACACACAGATACACAGTAAACTGTATGTCCGGTCTCGTCGCCGTCAGGTAGAGCAATGACCCGATCATGCTGCGGTACTCCTTCTGGTCCATGGCTTCTCCTTCTTCATCAGTATCCAACGCCATCATGGTTGACATGGGCATCAAAAGAGGCTTGGCCTCACCCATATCAAACTTCTTCAGCATGTCCTTGGTGTACTTCCCTTGGTGCACAAATGTCCCTTCTCGGTTTGCTTGATTTGCAACCCAAGAAAGAAGGTCAACTCTCCCATCATGCTCATCTCAAATTCCCTGCTCATAAGATCTGCAAACTTGGCAACAAGTGCATGAGAAGAGCCACCGAAAATGATATCATCCACGTAAATCTGAACCAAGAGAGTGTCATTGCCTTGCTTGAGGAGAAACAAAGTTTTATCAACTGAACCTATTTTAAAACCCTTGTTAAGCAAGAAGGTTTTCAAATGCTCATACCATGCTCTCGGGGCTTGTTTCAAACCATACAAAGCCTTGTGGAGTTTAAAAACATGGTTTGGAAACTTTGGGTTCTCAAAACCAGGAGGTTGCCTCACATAGACCTCCTCCTCTATGTAGCCATTTAAGAAGGCATTTTTGACGTCCATTTGAAAAAAGCTTAAAACCCTTTGAAGCAGCAAAAGCACAAAGGATTCTAAACGCCTCTAAACAAACTACAGGGGCGAAGGTCTCCTCATAATCTATACCTTCCTTTTGGCAAAAACCTTGGGCTACCAACCTAGCTTTGTTCCTCACTACCACCCCATCTTCACTCTGTTTGTTTTTAAAGACCCACTTTGTTCCTATGGGATGGCACTCTGGTGGAGGTGGTACTAAAACCCAAACCTGGTTTCTCTCAAAGTTTTCCAACTCCTCATGCATGGCATTAACCCAATTGGGATCTGATAAAGCATGGCCAACATCTCGAAGCTCAAAAGAAGCTACAAATGCAGAATGAGCAAAGTGTTAGATGTGATATGACCTAGACCACGTGACTTGCTGGTCGATATTGCCAATCATGGTCTGAGGTGGATGGCGATGCTGAATGTGGCGTGGTGCCTCCCTAGAAGAAGTCGCCTCCCCCTTAACAGCAGCTAGTGCCTCCTCAGGTGCAGCTGGCATAGGCTGAGGAAGCTGCTCGAATGGCCCCCAAGAGGTGGAAGTAGAGGGATCGGGACCGTGAGCCAAAGTAGTCGTCGATGGCTCGAGAGGGGCAGTCGGTGGAGTCAGCTCGGGATCACCCCAATCGGCATCTTCCTGCTCCTCCACCACAAAGATGCTTTCACCAAGCTCATCCTCACTTGCACGCTCAAAGACAGGAATTGCACAAGGTATGGTTTCATCGAATGTGACCTCACAGGTCTCCACGACACGATTAGTTTCAAGGTTAAGTACACGATAAGCTCGAGAATGAGAAGCATAACCAAGAAATATCCCATCGGAGGACCTAGACTCAAACTTGTCCAAATTACCTTGCTTGAGGATGAAGCACTTGCATCCAAACACCCTGAAATGGCTTACCTTGGGTGGCCGCCCAAACCGCAACTCATAAGAAGTCTTCTTCATGAAAGCTCAAAGAAAAATGCGGTTTGAAACATGGCAAACAGTGTTGATTGCCTCAGCCCAATATCTCCTAGAAGTCATATGCTCTTCGAGCATCATCCTAGCCATTTCAACCAAAGTCTGATTTTTGCGCTCAACAACACCGTTTTGCTAGGGGGACATAAGGAGAGGAAAACTGGTGCTCGAGACCCAAAGAAGAGCAAAAAGTTTCAAAATGAGTATTCTTGAATTATGTGCCATTGTCACTGCGAATCGCTCTCATGGCATTCTTAGGGAACTCATTTTGCAACCTCAGAATCAAATCTCGAGCATGAGAAAAAGCCTCATCCTTACCCTCCATGAAAAACACCCAAGAGTAGCGAGAAAAATCGTCCATGATCACAAGAACGTACCACTTCCCACCTTCTGACCGAACCTGAGCTGGACCAATTGTGTCCATGTGAAGTAGCTCACCGGGTTCCTTGGTCCTGACTTGGTTCACAGGAGGGTGAGAAGTAGCAACCATCTTCCTGTGGCGACAAGGGTGACAAACAAGATCCTTCTCAAACTTTAGCTTGGGCAATCCTCGGATTAAGTCAAGTGAGCTCAACCTAGCAAGTAGATAGAAACTCAAGTGACCAAGCCTTCTATGCCACTTCCAAAGATTAGAGGAGGATCTAGCCACAAGACAGCGAGAAGAGCCAAAAGAGTGAGAAAAGTCAGCTTGAAAGACACGGCCAAAAGGGACAATCTGACAAACTAGATTTCCCTAAGAATCAAGAACTCCAGACAAGCCAGTCTTAAAGTGCACTTCAAAGCCATCCCCAAGGAGTTGCGAAACAGAGAGCAAGTTAAAATGCAAATTCGAAACCAGCGCAACATCCTTGAGAACAAAACTCTCATTAACTCGAATGGTTCCACGAGAGACCACCTTACCTTTGCTATTGTCCATGAATGTGATGTACTCCTTGCAACTCACGGGGTCGAGGCTGGAGAAAAACTTTTGAGCTTCCGGTCATGTGGCGCGAACAGCCAGAATCAATGAGCCATGTGTTCTCCAGGCCTCCGTCCTGTATCAATAGAAAGGCATGGGATGAGCAAATGACGCAACACTAGGGTTAGTAAACTATGAAGGATACTAGTGAGAGTTCCAATTGACTATTTGAGTCAAAAACCAATAGAAATCAGTAGTAGTACCTTGGTGATCCTGCAGATTTAGTCGTGCCTTGTTTTGACTTTTTCTTAGCTGCAGGCTCAATGCTTTGGCGGCTCCTACAAATTCAGATTTTAGTAATAAAAAATTTGAGCAAAAATTTTGTACAAATAAGAATCATACCCTGCTGATCCTGCAGATTCAGAAGCACTACGCTTGCCTTTTTTCTTAGTTTCTGGTTCCACGCTAAGGCTATGGTAAATATAAATGAAGTTACATTCAAAGCATGTTTTAATATAATGATGAACACAAGATTTTTAGTTAACCTTGGTGGAAAAGACATGGATCATGTTGTTGTTTCATCATCCATCGGCACAATGCTGGATTGAGATGCTGCCTTCTTCTTCTTCTTCTTTGGTTCCCTACAAGTGAAAATATTAAATGAGGGCCACTTATCTTTAAATTTCTTCTCTTCTATGGTACTGAACATACAGACTTTATTACCTCAGTGCTGCTAGAGCTTTCTTGTCTTCTATATTACCCTTTTTACATGTATGCCAGATGCGCAACCTCCAAACAAATATGACACTTATGCTATCTTTTTTTCTTGTTCTTGTCGGTGCATCCTTTAAAACTTTAGTTCCTTCGCCTACCAGAAGTGGGTTTTAAGAGTGGAGGATACATGAAAAATCCATGTGTTGCTTTAGGCCATTGAGTCTTGTCAGGCATAGCTAGGATTAATTGAGCATATGCTACTCTAAATTTGTCAACAGAGTAATAAGGGTCCACATAGTTATCTAAAGCTACATTGCTAAGTGATGTAATAAATGTTATGGCATGTCTACATGGAATTCCAGAAACCTACCATTGCCTACAAGAACATGTTCTATCAAGCAAGTTTAGCACAAACCGAAAGCCACTACCCCCCAATGCAGTAACTTCTCCCACTTCCTCTGAGCATTCCTTAACTTCCAACTCCAACTCCCTGCTCTGTTCATTCAATTTCTTAATGCAATTATTGAAGTTCTCAGCTAAGTTGTTGGTTCCATTTGGTCATAAGCAATTGCCTAATCTTGTCCAAGAAATCATCCAAATTTAGGTACTTGTGTTCCTTAATCCAATTATTGAAGCTCTCAGCTAAGTTGTTGGTTACATAGTCTACCTTTGATCAAGTGGAGAACTAACTCCTAGTCCACAACCTAGTATGGCATTTCCTTAGGTATGCGGTTGCGGCTGGTTTTTCTTTCTCCATTGCAAGCCAATGCTTCTCAAATACATAGGGGTTCCATGAGTAAGCTGTTGTCCAAAGATGGTCATCAAACACTTTTCCATGGTACTTCTTCTTAAAGTTGGTCACTAAGTGAAACATGCATTCCCTATGTTCTACTTGTGGAAACACCTCTTTTACACCATTCATGATTGCCTGCCCTGCATCAATACATATGGCTAAACCGTTTGGTGAACCAATAGCATCTTTGAACAATTGCATAAACCAGATCTAGTTATCATTAGTTTCAGAATCAAAAACCCCAAAAGCTACCGGATACAACCAATTATGGCCATCAACACCTGAAGCACTAGCCAATTGTCCCTTGTACTTGCCAGTTAAGAATGTACTGTCTATAGCTAGATATGGCATGCAACCAGAAAGGAACCCCTCTATGCAAGGTTTCAAAGCAAAGAATAGCCTTCTAAATCTGAATTTCTCATTAACTGTGTGATGATCAATAATTACCATACTACTTGGACAACATTGCTCAATTGTTGACTTAAACCTAAATAGATTATCAAAGCTACTGTCCCAATTACCATAAAGCTGATTTAGTGCTAGCTCCATACCCTTATACACTCTTTGTTAGTGAATGTGTACCTTATGGTGCTCTTTTAGTTTCTTCTGCAGTGCTTTTGCTCCCAAAGTTGCATCATCAATGAGCCAGTCCTTCACCTTCTCACATATCCAATGCTTGGTAGCATTCACTACCTTCTTTTTTCTTCTCGTGCTAGAACATGTATGCTAAAATGAATTCTTTTTTACCTGAAATGAAATGTTGTAGTTAGAAACATTTAAACAATAAGATGGCAAAGTGTACACAATGGTAGGATTATTACCATTATAGTCTGCTTGTCTTTTGTTGTTGAAGCATGTATCCTCCATGGACATTTGTCTTCATTTTTTCTTGAACAAATACATGTGAACCTTTTTGGTGAACTTTTCACAGTTCTATATTCAAACTCATTTTTTATTGCATGATGAGATAATGCCAATTTAAAAGTTGCCATGTTGGGATATGTTGTGCCTTCTATCATTGGAGGGTCTTCTTTATCATATTCTATGTCTAGGACATGACCTTTCTCATTGTCGTCTCCTACTAAATCCTCGGCTTCCTCTATTTCAGACTCCGACTCAGACCCTGACTTCCCTAACTCAGACCCTGACTCAACTTCATCCTCATCATCTTCAACTGGAACATAATGCTTATCCTTGTCTTTGGCAAAATAAACAACTAGGTCTAAACCATGTACAGGTTCATTGTACATACCCTCATCATCTACACCAACATGTTCGTTCTCTAGTTGTGGATTTCATAGATAAGCATCCTCACCCTCATCCAATTGTGTGGTGTCACCAGGAGGCTTATTTGGCTTGTTCCTATTCTCACTATCCCACTTAGTGATAGGATGGTATTGCTCAGAAGGATCACAATATGCTATGAACATGTCCACAACCTTTGTATTCATGTGTCACTCAAACATTAACATCAAGTCTTGGTCTGTTTTAACTTCTGGAAAGCTTTTCAAAACATGGTCATGATATTGAAGATGTGCAACTTCCATGTAACCGGGTGGATATTGCTCTATGATTGATTGAATTAAGTCCTTTAAATTTGTTCTGTCACTATCCACAATTTTCTCAAAACAAAAACATCTTAGATCCTTCCTAGCTTTCTTTGGATTACCAAGATGTTTAAAGTTCAACATAAAAGTGAATTTAGGATCCATCCTGTGAGCAAAGTAATTGTAAACTTAAGTCATCGATACAAACACACAAATCAAAGTCGGTGATTGTTAACTCACCCTTTAAGCCAATCTGCCTGTACTGCAGATGCAGCACCTCCTCCAATGTCTGCACCTCCATCAGGCTCCATTCAACCCGTGCTGGCATCGCAGGCCACTAGCACACAGAGAGCCAAAGTCTAGGCTGCACGCCCTGGCCACTACGACCCCAGGCCGTCGCGCGCCCTGGCCGCTGCGACCCTAGGCAGCCGCGTGCCTTGGTCGCCGTGAGCCTAGGCCGACGTGCGCCCTGGCCGCCGCGACCCTAGGCCACCACGCGCCCTTGCCTCCACCCGCCCAGCCGCCTACCGAGCCTGCTTGCCCTGGCCGCCGCCCCGCAGTACCTAGGGTTAGGGTTCCTGTTTGTTTCAGAAGAAGAGAGTGGGCTCGGATGCGGGAAGTGACAGAGACGAGACCGAGAGTTCGAGATAGAAGAGAAAGGAGAGAGACGGCTTCAGTTAGGGGTATTTCTGTCCGTTCAATAAAAACTGACAACTCAATGATGGCAAACTTTGACAGATCTTACGGTAAGACCAGATTAGAAAACAAAACTTCGAGTGAGGCCAAATAGATAAAAAAATTTGTTTCAGGGCTAAGGAAGAAAGACAACTTTAAACCAGGGCCAAATAAGAAATTTTCTCTTGTTTATAGCTCCCATGATTATAGATTCCATGGATCTAGTTTCTCCTAGTCTTTTATCTGAGCTGCTAATTTGTTCATTGTTGCTTCTTCAGAGAAATTGGTTTACTAGAGAAATTGATTCAAAAGATTGGTGTACTAACCTTGGCTGATGAGGTATGAATCAGACTTGTAGTGCTTGTTCTTCAAATTTTCTTTGCAATCTGATTTCTGCCCCTGTCCCCTGCTCTGCGTGAGCACCACGCAGAGCAGATCTATTTTATTTGCTTTGCTTCTTTCCCAAGTCTTATCTGTTTTATTCTTATGGATTTTATGTTGTTGGGCTGTTTTCTAGGCTGCTGCATGTTTTATGGGTCACTTTCTCATTTTAGTTATTGGGCTCTACTATTTTACTTTTCGGTTGCATAGAAATTACAACAGATCTGCTTTGCGTGGGCCTTTTTTTAAAATCAAGTGTTTTACATGCAGCCAACAACCGTGTGCTAGCTTGTGCTAAAATACACGGTTTTTGCTCTGTTGGAAATCATGTGTTCTGTAGGTAACCAACAACCATGTGCTAGCTTGTGCTAAAACACATGATTTTTTCTCTGTTACAAATCGTGTTTTGCAGCTAGCAAACAACCATGTGCTAGCTTTTGCTAAAATACATGGTTGTACAGTAGACAAACTTTTAGGATTTAAAATATGTTTTGTGTGATTCATTTATTGTTGGAGACTTTTTTGTTGCCTCACCTATCTCAATATAAAATCTACCTTCCAAAAATAAGTAAATAATAATACATGTTCAAGCTATGTTTCATGGACGTTCACCCATCCTAAAAACTAGCAGGCTAAAAGGAAACCAAAGAAAAAAAAACTAGCAGCTAAAAGGAAACCGAAAAAAAAAACGACCGCAAGAGCCGATTCTTGGACGTTCACCCATCCGGAAAAAGCCATAAGGCCAAAATAAAACCAAATACGATTCCATGAGACAGAAAAAGGAAAAAAAATCGGCTGCAAGAAAAAGGAAAAAATCGACCGCAAGAAAAATAGGGGAAAAAATCGTGCAGGAAAAAAAAATGCCCAGAGATGTAGTCTGCGGGTTGCTGGGCTGCCAGATGATTCTGGTTCAGTACCCGGGTACCAAATAGCGGAGTCCTAATGTTATATGTTGCAGATGTTTCGTCCGAATGTTGCAAAAATAGATCTGCATATATATATATATATATTTTTTTTCTGACGTATATTGCAAGTGTTTCATCTATATCCAGATCTATTTTTGCAACATCCAGATAAAACACTTACAACATACGTAAGATATAGATAAAACATTAGGAACATACACTTGAAACGTACGTGTATAACCGTTGTAATATGTGCAACATTTCGATCTACTTTTATAACATCCACGTAAAACTTCTGAAAACATTAGGTTGGTCCACAGGCTGCTCTTGCGGTCGATTTTCACAGCCTCTATGACATTTCTAAAACATTTGAAAGATACATTTACAACACGCGACATATCCTGACGCGGCCACCTCCGCCGCCTGCAGCGAGGCACCGCAGTCGTAGCAGGAGCGCGAGGCCAGAGGGATTCCACGCCAGGGCCCGCGCTTCTCCCTGCATCGGCGGCGCCTGACGATGTCGTCGGGCGCGAGCATGCGCGCGACGGCCTTGATGGCTAGCTGGCGGCCGAGAAAGCGGTCCCCACGCCTGGGCGCGGCAGTGCCTGCGCCGTCAGGCTGGGTCGACGGCGGAGCAGGAGCAACAGCAAGGGAGGTCCGGCTGGCGTAGGGGCTTGAGCGTTGGAGGTGGCAGCGGTAGAGTTTTTGGGGAAGGAAAGAAAGGGAACGCCATGGACGAAGCAGAGCAGAGGACTTCTCCTTTTCGTATCGTTATCCAGCCGGCGCAATGGAAAGGATGGACGCGGACACGATAATAAAAAAACGGGAGGCCTGTTAGGTTGGTCCGCAGGCCGTGCGGTGCAGTTGGAGGCCCAGGAAGGTCCGTCTGCACATAGCATTACCGAATACAACTGATTACTGATGGATCATAATGAATAGATTCACTGACTGTGCATCTGGATGCAGCCATGCACTTGTACAGATGAATAGCGCTAGCATGGGGAAACAATCTCCGAAGAACTAACAAAAGATCTCAGCATTTCTCTATACATCAAAATAAGCACAGCCTCTTGTTTTAACTTCGTCAATAACGTGGCCGAGCACGTGTGTCTTGACTCGAGCTACCTCTTGTTTCTGCCGCCGGTGAAGCACATGAGGCTTGAGATAGGAAGCACACAACCGGCACACCAAGGCCAAGCAAAAGAATTACGGTTACACACAGAGTGCAGTGACCACTTTCTAGACCAACTGAAGAATACGTAGCGTGGTACTTACCATTTGCCAATCCAGCTCAGATTCCTTTCCGATTGAGCTGCAGGAGCAGGAAGAGGAGAAGCAGCAGGAGGGGCTGCTGAAGGAGGAGCTGCAACAGTGTTCGTGTTGTTGACGCGGCCTTTATAGTATCCTGCTCGTATACCAAACCAAAAGAATCAAAACAGAGCACTTGATTGAAGCTGGCTATAGACAGACGCTACTAGCATCAAACAGGTTTCTGAAAAAAAAAACCAAGTGAGGGATTAGGAGTGGCAAGAAAAGTTTGGATCTGTATGACACACACCAGGAACGCCATGGACATGAGTGTGGTTGGCGACCTGTTCGCCAACATCCTGCCGTGGTTGCGGCTGTGGCGCCGCCACCAGCAGACCGTTGGCCTGCTCGCCAGCGGTTGCCTGCGGCTGTGCCTGCGCTTGCTGCGGATCGTACTCCAGGGGACGGCCACTGTAGTAGCCATCTGCAGCCACAGAAAACCAGTGAACAATCAAAGTGATTCGCACAAAGGAAATAAGAGTAGTCTTCACGCTACTGCCTATCGTTTTGATCGAGCTTGTTTTTATGTTTTCAGAAATGGTAAGGATTGTCAAGGCTGAGCAGCATACCGGCAGGATTGTCCGAGGCGTCGGCCATGGCGAGTCTCCGGCAACCTCTTCCGGAGAGAGTGGGACGATGAGCGAACAGGAGGAAGCCGGTAGGCCACCGCCTCCGTTGCCGGTCTCTGCTTCTTGGATAGATGGAAGTGGAATGTGGGAGTAGACAGCAGAGCAGGTGCCTTTGGGGAGGCAGCTTCCTCCAGGCAGGAACAACGCGGAAATGGAATCGTCCAGGCAGGAACAACGCGGAAATGGAATCGACTAAGGTGTGTTTGGTTAAGCTGTGGTCGTGAGAAAAAGTTGCTGTGGGCTGTGAGCTGTGGGAAAGCTGTTGTGGGCTGTGAGCTGTAGAAAAACTGAAAGCTGTTTGGTTAAACAAGTATAAAATATACCTTCTATTTTTATCTCTCTTGAAACAACTATGAAAGAGCTTTTTATTTTACCAATTTCGAAAACCAAAAAGCCAAAAACCAAAAGCAGGGTCAAACCAGCTTTTAAAAATAAACTACGGAAAAGCAGCTGCTTCTGAAAAAGCAGCCTAAAAAAACAACCCCTTTGGTTAGGCTTTTAGCTTTTAGGGCCAAAAGGCAAAGCCAAAAGCCCAACCAAACGGACCCTAAAAGTGAGAAGACTTTGCATACTTGCCTTAGAAGAAACCTTGTTGGAAAGAAAAAACATGCAATACCTCAATCCAAAGGGAAATAAAGGGTGTCGCCTTTGTCCTACAATGCTCCTTCTGGGGCTGTTCTGGTTGAGACCCTCCCAGAAGATTTATAGACAGAGCAAAAACGCCGCATAGGATTTTGGCTTCAACCAAAAAGCAAATGTACTAAATACATATTTGGTACATCTTATAAGTTATTTATGATCAAAATAAGCTCAAATTAATAGTCAGATGTCATGTTTCTTGAAGCTCATTCTGACCGTGGTTATTCCCACCACCCCAATTTGTAGTAAAAAACATAAGCTAGATAAGACATGCTTATTTTAACCGAGCTTTTACTCTACTAGTGTATCTTCTCCGCGAAGCGCTTCCTAGAGAACCTAAATCAAACAGGGTCTGGCTCTTTTTGTTTTACCTTTTTGCTGGCTTCTGCTAGCCAAAAGTCAGAAGCTGAAACAATAACCCATCTATTAAGCTGGCTTCTAAGTAACTAAACTAAAAGCTGAAAAGCATACTGAGAAGAACTTTTATAACTTTTGTTGTGCTGAGAAGCTAAAAGTTGATTACAAAACCTAAAAGCTAGAAAGTAGGCTTTTAAGTGAAAAGCCCAAAAAAATACAGCTCAAACAAGCAGACACTAAGTTCATTAGACTTTCCTGAGTTCACAACTCAACTCAGGACCTAATTAAACCCAAATTTATAATACACATGCATGCCCAAGAGCATGTCTGACCTCACACAAGCCTCAAAAAACGTGGAAACCCCAAGATGTTTCTATATACTAAATATTTATTGTGTTCTTAAGCATGTTCTTCGCTTTCGGTTTTATATGTAAGAATCCATTAATGTGCAGTAGGACAAACTAAGATAGGGAGACTGAAAAACATTTGCTGCATGAATGACTATATGCAGGTAAATGCGTTGCATTGCCTTATTTATTAAAGCTTAACTTGGCAAATTAGAACATTTGCCTTGTTATTGTTTTGCAACTTGTTATTGTTTCAAATAAAAGTTCGTACAGCATGCATAATAGCGCACAAGTTTAGGTCAAGTTGCACACAACATTTTAATATTACATACTCCAGTACACATAAAAGTAGTTGGTTCATTAATCATTACCAACACGCTAGCCAGTGGCCCCGTTCGCTGACCTTAAATCTGGCTTGTTCGGCTTCTTTTTTCAACCAGAAGAGTGTTCTTCGAACAGTATTTTTCAGTCAATTTCAGCCAAGTTTCAGAGAAGCGAACGGGGCCAATATAATACATATATGAGTGCACTATCTTGAGCCTTGCATAGTAGAATCATTGCCTCTTCGTACAAAATGAACTTGTTAATTAAAACTAATATGGGCCGAAGCGAAGCTTCACAGGACGTTATTACATATATACACCGGCCTAGATGGCTAGGAGCATCTCTTCGTAATTAAGGTAAACTTTTCATTGACTCTGCTTCTGCATAGTGCATAGAATGCTTGTACAAACTGACAACGCCACTGCCGAAAATATACATTTCAAAGAAAATAAATCTGAACAAATTTCTTCATAAGGTAAACTGTATGAGAGACTCCCAGATTTTCATACCAAAGCAAAGCACAGTTGTATCATGGGGAATGCTTTTCATTGACTCTGCTTCTGCATAGTGCATACAATGCTTGTACAAATTGACAACACCACTGCCGAAAATATATGTTTCAAAGAAAATAAATCTGAACAAATTTCCATGGACCCAACACAATCACTGCCATGTGCCATCCGTGGTCCTCGGTCCAACAAGGAATCTATCTTGCGGTTTGGCCGCCAGAGAAGCACGCACAACTTGATGATATATACAATACAACGAACGGAGAGCCATCAGCGAAGGAATAATCAAGTGAAATGAAAACCAGGCAACAGCGACTAGTATTTAATTTGATCATTTGCGCTCTGAACGCTCACCAGCTGGCGAAGAAGCCCGATTCTTCCTTAGCTAGCAGCGGAGCCCTGGCCGCCGGCGCCAGGTTTCGCAGGGCCGCCGGAGTAGTAGCCTGCTCTTGCCAAACGCGCAAACGTGATTGGAGAGAGAAAGGAAACGAGGAATTTTTAGGAGAAGAAGAAACGCTTGGATCGGATCTGTACATAGTGCACGCACCAGGGACTGAGGCGTTGACCTGGCCGTCAGCGGGCGCCTTGTGCTTGTCGTGCGTCGCGGCGGGAGGGCCAGAGTAGTAGCCTGCACCAACACCAACAACGGGTAGAAAAAGAATCATGTGAATTATCATTCAAGCTAAACACATATATAGCTGTAACCTTCGTTTGGCATGCTTTCTTTGAAGCCATGGACACGCATATATAGTACAGTAATATAGGAGTACTATGGTTGTGGTTGAGGAGCGTACCGGGAGCGGGACTGCTGTCAGCCATTGGCGGATCGGATCGGAGCTCCGGCGGCGGCGGGGTTTTCCTCCGCCAACTGCCGAGAGCGAGACGAGGATCCGGGGTGGAAAGACGAGAGAGCGGGAGTCCAGGTAGGTATGCCTCCTTATGCAGGTGGCAGGTCTCCCCTCCCCGTGTGTTGGACAGGACGGAGAAGAACTAACTGGCTTTAGGCAAAGGTATCTGCAGCTTTGCATTGGCCGAGCTGGTATGGTAATACAAGGGAGGGATTGACTGCGGAGACTTGGCATCATAGGTCGACGGTCGGTCATCCAGTTCCTGAAACCAAAACAAGGTGCTGCCACCTACCACGTCGTACCTTGAGCTACTGGGCCCGGTTTCTGCAAGTGGGGCCACTGCTGGCACCATCACTTGCTAGTAGTAGCTACTGACTTGCAGCCTGTTCGGGAGGTCGTAAACGATCGTGGATTATTTACTGCTGGCTGGTTTGATGTGAGAGAAAAACACTGTTCCCGGCTGAAAATTTACGATCGTTTACGACCAAGCGAACATGCTATTGGTCTTCTACTAGTCATCATCTCTAGTCTAGTGCCTGAACTGAAAGGAAGATGAAATGCTGCTGTATCACCCTTTGTATTTTTAATTTGGCTCTCTGCAACTGTGCAATTTCCATTTTCCTAGTGCTCCTGCCGGGTTATTAAAAAGGGTAAAGTGCATTTTTCAACCCTCATCTTGCACATGAGTTCAATTTTAAACCTTAAACTATAAATTTAGGTACTGGACACCCTCCAACTATCGAATCTAGATAAATTTGGTCCTTTAGTTGGTTTTTAAAGGTGGTTTCTATTTTATTAAAAAAATAGAAAATCTAGTTTAACCTCTAAAAATTCACAACTAATTAATCTATTTTGAACCAAAAAGAAACTAATACCATCTTTTTAAGAAAATATTATCTAACTCTTGCTGATCTATTTATAGTTTTTTGTAACTTGTTTTTTCTGTTTCTATTGTTTTATTGCTTGTGGTTTGGTTTATTAGAAACATGAATAAATAAGATTCAAATAACTCGAAATAGACTACCAATAGATAAATAACATTTTTTACGGAAAATGTTGTTAGTTTCACATTTTTTTCTGATTTAAAATAAATAAGTTATCAATTTATGGGTATTAAAAAAGGTTTTTATTATTTTAGAAAAAATAGAAAACTAGCTTTGAAACAAGCTAAAGAAGTAAACTTGTCCTGTTTCGCTAGTTGGAGGGCGTCCAGTATCTAGTTTCATAATTTAGGGTCGAAAATCAAACTCCCATGCAAGTTGAAGATCGAAAAATACACTTTACTCTATTAAAAAAGTCGTATTATTTAATAGCGGCTCTAATATTTCACAAACACTTACTCTTCCTACTTTCTTATATGGAGTTATAAATTAGTACTTCAACAAATTCTCCACTGCTGGAATTTTTGGGAAAGACAGACCATTGGTTGTGAAAACTCTTGTGACAACTGAGCTTTACACAAAACTAGAACCCGTGAATACTCTACCAGTCTTGAATTTCAGTAGGCTCAGCAACAAGCTATACGGCTTGTTTCTGTGTCAATCCAATACAGCTTGTTACTCTAGAACATGAGGCGCCCCATGATCATTTGGTAAAACCTATAACTATAAAACTATATGGCCAAAATTAGAGCAAAGATTTTCTTGTTTCATAAAAGGACAAAACTATTTTTTAAAATTTTTTGAGTGTATATAAGCTCTAAGATTCTTGCATGATCTATAACAGACTAAAGCCAGATAATATAAACTTCATATAGTTGAAGATAGAAGACAAGAAAAAAAAACGAAGCTATTAGTGCAGCCTATAGCTGCAGCAGCAGCAGCTATACAGCTATAGCCAGCAGTAGCAAGCCAAGCAACCACTCTGTAGCAGCTGTTTTCAGCTGCAGTTGCACCACTGCACCACCACAAACACTGCCAGGAACAAACTGTTGACATTGCAAATGGTAGGAATAAATTGTCAACAATATTATGGTCTTTGAATTTACAAACAATTAATAAATCTATATAATAATCTGGTTCCATTACTCTTTAGGTTCTCAGACATGATCCATTAGCAACAACATACAAGAATCAGGTGGCACATCCCATTACTACTACTTGCTGCGATGGTTCAAAAAACATTAACCATCCATAGGATTACAGGAAGACATGCTCTTAGAAGGGGCACATCTATTGGGTTAGAGAATGTTGTTAGTCCAGGAGAGCAATGGATAAGTTGTTGATGTCAACATTATCTCCAGCTGCCTGCAAATGCAATATGGGGAGTTATTCTGCTTGCAAGCATGGAGAGATTATCTAGTTGGGAACTCTACATTTAATGTCATATATTCATCTTTTTGGCATAGTACTTATGTATAGGATGAGAGGCGCGCTTCCCGTACCCGTAGGGTGGCAGACTGGCAGTGCACGCCAATAGGCAAACATGAACCCTTTGTTATGCCTGAGAGAGCAAATACAGTATATAATTAAGTGGCTATACATAAGTGGCCTAACAAATCTTCAACGCCCAACTCAACAGGTTGTCCAAACAGTTATTGCAGTCTGCAAAAGAAAGAGATATAGCCAGGCAGATGATTAAGTTAGAATACTCTTTATATATTATATAATAAAATAATATCCAAGTCCCAGAAGTGGCATAATTAGCTGAGCAAATTGGTGTTTCGATCTATAGACATACCACAACAACAACAACAACAAAACCTTTAAGTCCCAAACAAGTTGAGGTAGGCTAGAGTTAAAACCCAGCAGAAGCAATCAAAGTTCAAGCACGTGAATAGCTGTCTTCCAAGCACTCCTATCTAAGGCTAAGTCTTTGGGTATATTCCATCCTTTCAAGTCTCATTTTATTGCCTCTACCCAAATTAACTTCGGTCTTCCTCTAGCTCTCTTCACGTTACTATCCTGGCTTAGGATTCTCCTACGCACCGGTGCCTCTGGAGGTCTCCGTTGGACATGTCCAAACCATCTCAACCGGTGTTGGACAAGCTTTTCTTCAATTCATGCTACCCCTAATCTATCACGTATATCATCGTTCCAAACTCGATCCTTTCTTGTATGACCGCAAATCCAACGCAACATACACATTTCTGCGACACTTATCTGTTGAACATGTCGTCTTTTCGTAGGCCAACATTCTGCACCATACAACATAGTAGGTCTAATCACCGTCCTATAAAACTTGTCTTTTAGCTTCTATGGTACCCTTTTGTCACATAGGACACCAGATGCTTAGCGCCACTTCATCCACCCTGCTTTGATTCTATGGCTAACATCTTCATCAATATCCCCGTCTCTCTATAGCACTGATCCTAAATATCGAAAGGTATCCTTCCTAGACACTACTTGACCTTCCAAACTAATATCTTCCTCCTTCCGAGTAGTAATGCCGAAGTAACATCTCATATACTCAGTTTTAGTTCTACTGAGTCTAAAACCTTTGGACTCCAAAGTCTCCCGCCATAACTCCAGTTTCTGATTCACTCCTGTCCGGCTTTCATCAACTAGCACTACATCGTCCGCGAAAAGCATACACCAAGGGATGTCCCCTTGTGACCTCATCCATCACTCAGGCAAACAAATAAGGGCTCAAAGCTGACCCTTGATGTAGTCCTATCCTAATCGGAAAGTCATCCGTGTCTCCATCACTTGTTCGAACTCTAGTCACAACATTGTTGTACATGTCCTTAATGAGCCCGACAAAAAGTAGTAGGGCATGAAGCAGTATTGCAAAAGCAATTAAACCCCTCAAAAAGTTGTAGTGGAGTTATTACTAATTTTAACAGAAAAAATAGCTCTGAACTAAAAGATCAAAGCAAAATGTGATATCTTAACAGGAAATTACACCTGCTCCAATCCAAATAAGGGTTCATTTATCGTCCAACAAAGCTTAGAACTCCGGTAATGAGAGGCAGTACTTGGAGGTAACAGTTAAATTAGATATAGTAGGCATCTATAGCAGTTTGTTGAACCTGGATAGAGGAATCACAATCGTGTAAATTTTTCTGTAGGAACAGAAGAATGCAGAACTATTTTTTTAATATCATTTCCTCCTTTTAGTCACTCCAAACGTTAGGATAAAAACAGATACACCTAGAAAGGAACATGACTCATTATACCTTTTACAGGAGGGTGTAACAGCTTAACAACAATGTGTAAGATAAGAAGCTTCTAATGGATATCATTGTTTGTCTGTTTCAGGAAATGAAAAGGGGTTAAAAGTGTTCTGATCTTCTCATATGTCCTGTCCCAAATTTATAATTCTCTCTTTACTCTGATTATTTCGAATCACTCACAGCATGTATGTCAAATCATAACAGTTCAGATAGGGGTTTATTTATCTGTGATCTAACCACTACTCTCATTCATTTCACATAAGGCAAAGTAACTACAGGCTTGGCCTTCAAGAAGTAGATACTCAATTTTTACTGACAGAAACTGTGCATCAGATCCACTCACCAAATTCTCAGCTCCATTCTCCGGCAGAAAACACAAAGGACGCAATTTAGTTTTAGACTTTAGAACAGGAGGTAGCAGAGTTGAGGATAACAAGAGTAGTATGTTTATTCAGCAATGGCAAACGCCAAGTACTGACCAATACACGGTCATACACAAAAGGGCTGGCTGCAACCGCAACTGGTGGAGACAAATGGTGGGTGCTCCATTTTTGTGATTAAGCATCTTTGCTTCATCTGTGAAGAGAAAAATTATTAGAAGCATGGACATCAAAGCATGGACGGAACTAAATGATATTAATCAAAGGCATAATAGGCATGTCCCTGCATGACCGGCTGGCCGCGATCTCTGAACAAGTGTGCTGCTGGCCGGCGACGGCACGCCACGGAGGACGTGGTTCCCACCGATTTTGATCTCCAGGCATGGATCTGGTGGAGCCCATCGCGGATCTGACAGCTGGCGCCAAGATCCACGCGGAGGACCTCGCCCTCCATGTCGAACCAAGGGAACATGAGTGAAGGAGAAAGGAAAAGAAGAAGTTGCTCGGCCGTACCGTTGATTCGCGTCGCCGCCTCCGGGCTGTTGCTCAGCATGCGAGCACCCGCGGCGTCGCTGTGCAGCACGCCGCCTCCCCCACAGTCCAGATGCACTCCACCAACATGGCGAGGTAGAGTGGAGAGAAGGAAAGAGGTGGCGGCGGCTAGGGGTTTGGGCGCCACCCAAGACGCCGGTGCGGGAACACGGCGAGGCGGAAGGCAGCGTAGGGAAGATGTGACGGCGGCTAGGGATTCGGGCGCCACCCAAGCGCCGATGCGGGAGCGAGGCTGTTGGAGTCGATGCAGGAGCGAGGAGAGGAGAGAAAGGAGAGAGGGATCGGGTGATCGGGGCAGGCTGCGGTGCAGGGTGGGAACGGGGGGGTTTCTGGAAAGTTGCAAGGGTGTTTTCGAAACAACGACTCGATTTTAGAATTTTGCCTTCTTCACGTAAAAATAAAATTTAGTTTAGGGGTCTATACGAAACATATTAGAACACATTTACTGTTCTGGACGGATGAGTTAGACCGCGGGTTGATTATCCAAAATACAAAGGGTCTTTTTGCAAAAGATACACAAAATGCTCCAAATTTACACAAAGTACCACATATATAAATAGAAAGAAAAACCTCGGTTTACACAAGTAGGCACAGCGAAAATCGATGGTAACCTCTGCAACGAACAACCTCATTGACTCTAGGTGAGATGCTACGAATGGACAATATGAATGTCCCTGCAACTGAAATCCGTCCAGACAAGCACCAGTGCGACGCGTGCTGAGCCAGAAATGTCCTTCACTGAACTGCGAGAAGAGGGATATGTCCTGGATCTAGTTCGAATTTCAGCTGCTGCCGGAGAAGCACCCGAACCTGAGCACAGCAAACAGAGAACCATCAAACCGTGGAAACTGACAGCAATCAGCAGATTTGATCCCAAAATAGCCTCGGGATTCTAGACCCAATTAATGCATCAAACTACCTACCATTTGGCAAAGAAGCTCGGTTCTCGGTTCTGCTGATCTGCAGTATCAGCGTTGTTGTTGTTGTTGTTGTTGTTTCCAGTGCCATCGCTTGGTCTCGGTTGCACACGCCCAGCGTAGTAACCTGCTCGTGCCAGGGAAAAAAATCCCGATCCAGTTTGATAACTAATTAACACGAAATGTAACGGACAATTTAGAAGAGAAGGTGAAATCAGGGCAGGAAGGAAGCAGTTGAGTCGTGCAAGCATGAACCGAAACAAGAACGCACCAGGGACTTGCGCGTTCACAGCGTTGTGGTCGTCGACGGCGGGCGCGGGCGCCGGCGGCGGCACCGCCTGTGGCTGCTGCTCCTGGTAGTGCAACGGCCGGCCGACGAAGTAGCCTGTGCTTGGAGGCCACGGGAGGAAGGAAACACAAGGCGATTCAGGGGCAAGGTAACCAGCAGATCCGGTAAAGAGATACAATCGACAAATACTACTTTGCAATCAAAGAAGCAACTTCTTTTGGAGCTTGTTCAGCTTGAGAGACGGGCAGGAGAGGGGAGGATGGAAGGTCAAGGCTGTGCAGCACGTACCAGGAGGGTCGGCGGTAGCAGCGGCGGCGGCCATGGCGGATCTCCGGTGTCCTGCTCTATCGTCTCTCCTCCTCCGGCGAGGGCAGCCGAGGTGGAGGACGCCAGGGGTTGACGCACTCTTGCGCGGGTCTCCTTTTGTTTTGTTGGATTATTCAACAAGAGAAAACACCCAGCATCAGTTTGGACAGCTTTCTCCAAGCTGTCAATAAGGCCATTGACTAAGGAGACCTGACACTGGCTTACCAAGACACATACCACCTTGAATTTGATCAAGGAACGCTTCAATAATTTATTTATGCTGATCACATCACCAATCACATGGGCCGTGTTCGCTGGAAGAAATTTGGAGGAACCTATGAGAGCATGAACAGTGTTTTCAGCTGTGAACAGTGAATTCCGGAGGAATTTTGCCCCAGCCGAACGCCCCCATGGTCGCTTGAGCTTGTGGGTTTCTTCAAGTGTTTGCAGTTACAATTATTCTGTTCCAATATTTTTGGTTGATTCAATTAGGATTTAGGTTCCTTTCATTCTGTCCTTGTCTCTTCTTTTTTTCAGGAAAACATTTTTTTTCTCAGACAGCTGGTACTAATGACTGCAGGATTTGCATTCACATGTCCATATGCATATATTATCACGGAGACACGACGTATGATCATACGAGAATAAGTTATGTAAACGACAGTGAGGAGGTGATGAAATGATGCAAAGGTAAACTAATGTTACACGGCCATCGTTTTTTTATAAGGAAAACAGAGTTTCCACTAACCAGTGGCTCTAGGGAGATCCCAAAGACCAAATTGGTTACATAGTCGGGGACTTGGTTCACGTACATCTCCGAACCAGAGCGTACAACGCTCGCCCCATGAGCAGCAAGGCTATCAGCCACTTTGTTGCATGATCGCGGGCATGCCCAAACCACACACTGAACAAATAATTGGTGCATGATTTCTCTGATTTCGCAAAAGAGGCACCCTTCAGCACTCCTGTCCAACTCGTTTGATTTCAGCCCTCTCAAGATTTGTTGCATCAGTTCTGGTCATTCTCAATTGTGCCACCCTTTGAAAGCTTTTGAGGGTAGCAAGTGCTTCAGCATGTATTGGATTTGTAACACGCTCCTTTCCTTATGTCCTTGTCACTTCTTTTTCAGGAAAACAATTTTTTCTCGGTCGTCAGCTGGTACTAATGACTACAAGTTTTGCACTCACTTGTCCATCCATATGCATAAATTATCACTGAGACGCAGACGTATGATTGTACGAGAATAAGATATGTAAATGACCGTGAGGAGATGACGAAAAGAAGCAAACGTAAATTATTGTTACACGGCCGTGGTTGGTGGTGAGTACAGACAACAAGGCAAAGCTAAGCTCAAAGGGACCATGATAGAGAAAGAAAGGCTGCATCAAAAGGCTTGCGTTTGGCATGGCAATGTGTCCAAGAAAGAACATACAATCCAGAGATGGTATTTTTATGGAAACAAAAAAAAATCTACAAAGGGTAGTTTCTGCGTTGATTCATTTCCCACATGTGGGGCATCCTGTGTGAGAGTACTCGGTAATTGCGCTACCTGGACCTGGCCAAAGTCGTCCTCCGCCTTGTGCAACAAAACAACAAGATTCGCTGCCTTGTCCTTGCTTGCATCGCTGGAGTTTGGTCTAAGTCCAGGTCGCCTCGATCTCCCCAGCGACCTGCCGACCTCCATTGCAATTTGCAGCCTCAGCTATAAGCAGCTCATCGAACACCGCAAGGCTTGCTGCCTTGCTGCTGCTTTGCGATGAAGTAGTTCACCAGAGGCAACCGGCTCCCTCCCCAAGTGCTGTCGAGGTTAGACTCTCACCTGCTGCTGTTTTCAAGCATAATGTTCCAGTGGTTAGCTTCTCCGAGTTTTTCCTTCTTTGATTTGTCTCAAATATGAACATCAACAGCCATATGCTGCCAGCTGAATAACCCGTGTATAAGTAATTCTTTCGATCGTAAGTCATTGTGCAGTTCCAATTCAGCTGCATTTTATCCATGTTTATCTTCTACAATGGACGTTACTACTTACCAGCAGCATCTTACAGACGAAAAACCTGTGGCAGTGCCGGTCCTACGATTTTAAGGGTCTTCTGGTGATCTCGTCGCAACGGCCTCTCTTGACCATGTACAAAAATCTTATAATATACAGGCGTTAATTTTACTTGCAAAACGAAAAGCAAATTCAATAACATATTTTTAATTTAACATGTATGATAATTATCGAGGAATAATGTAGATTAAGCAATATATTTGTAGATGTATGATAATTATCGAGGAACAATGTAGATTAAAAAAACAATATGTTTGTTTTCTTTTCTCACCCATAACAAATATTTCTGAGGTAATATTTTAAAATTCTAACACCTAAATTAGAAGAAAAATATGACTATATGGGTACAAAGTACTAGAAGTCTGCAATACTATACAAATAATTAATTTGGATTAAAAATAAAAAGAAAAAATACCTTGGGCCTAAACAACTAATTGGTGATCGTAATTCATAAGAAGCCAAGAATCAAGATGTCGTCATCGTGGAGCCCTGCCTAGTCGTCGTCCTCGTGCGCCGTGTCAGTGTCTCCGGTAGTCTAGATCTTTGTGGCGGCGCGGCTCGCCAGCTCCGTGTGTGTAAGGCGCACGTCGTGAACTCATGATCAGAGTGTGCTGTATGCAGCGTGACTCCTCGCCTCCTCTCTACCCGAGGGCTGTGGGGAAAGGAAATTAGGGCCTTGTTTAGATTGCAAATTTTTGCAATCTGGACACTGTAGCACGTTTCGTTTGTATTTGACAAATTTTGTCTGATCATGGACTAACTAGGCTCAAAAGATTCGTCTCGTGATTTACAACCAAATTGTGTAATTAGTTATTTTTTTATCTACATTTAATGCTCCATGCATGCGTCTAAAAATTGATGTGATGGAGAGAGAGTGAAAAAACTTAGAATTTTGAGGCAATCTAAACAAGGCCCAGGAAAGAAATACCGATGTTGTCTTTTTGGGCCACCTAGCCAGTTCTATGTCTCTCTTCTTATTAGTTTGCTAATGCCTAATGGACTATAGGACCTGTGGGTTTATATACTTGGGCTTAGGCCCCTCCTCCGCTTGGGCCCTCGGCCGTCGCACCTCGTGCCCTACCCCTAGGGCCGGCACTGACCTGTGGGGAACCACTCACTCATTCCACACTAGCATCTTACTGATAAGAGACTAGCTACAACGCATGCTGCCACCAGCAAAAGTAGTCTTCTTCAACAACATCAGCAACAATCATAGCTCGGAACAACCCCTCATCTCACCATTGGAGTATAGCACAAGAGACCTACTCTTTGGCACCTTGGAACACCGGGTGACCATCCCTCCAAAAAAGGCTAACGATGGCGTCTGCGCATATCAGGCCTTACTTTTTTAGGGAACACCACTCAGGTATACAATCTTCCTCGACACCAAGGTGATGCATGCACTTCCCTTCGATGCAGCAATCCCAATGTAACACCCCAGCCCATTAGTAGCTTGTAGTAGTTGTGAAGTTGGTCCATGTGGCCCAAATGGCACATGTGTGGTTATGGTTGGTGGGTTTAGTACCACTGTGAAAGTTTAGGAAGGTGAGGGCCAGCTTATAAGCCTTATCGTTCCAATCATACCACATTCGGATTAACTCTTTTACACGAAATGAGGACTAAAGTCTAAGAGAGGTGCTACGCGTGAGGAGCTGAGCCATATAAGTAGTTTTTGGACCTACGCTGTTACATATGGTATTCGGAGCATTAACCCTTGCTGCATGTGCCCGTGGAGAAGTGTACCAAGGGGTGGTCCTAGACATCTGCCACATATATGTGGTGAGCTGCCGAGGACGTCAACCCTTAAGGGGGGTGGTGAATGTAACACCCCAGCGCATTAGTAGCCTATAGTAGTTGTGAAGTTGGCCCATGTGGTCCAAGTGGCACATATGTATTTGTGGTTGGTGGGTTTAGTACCACCTTGGATGTTTAGGAGGGTGAGGGCCACCTTATAAGCATCATTCCAATCGTAGCACCTCTAGGTTAACCCTTTTACACGAAGCGAGGATGAAAGTGTAAGAGAGGTGCTACGCGTTTGCAAGCCCGTTCCACGTCTGGAGCTAGGCAATATAAGTAGTTTTTTGACATGGGGTGTTACACCCAAGAGACATCCTTGACGCGGCTAGAACAGCTCATGGAGCAACCATTGGCCCTGGCACCTACAACTACTACATCTTTGGCTACATCGCCAGCTGGAACTATGGCTTCGAGTTCTCCCCCAACAATACTCGAGACAACATCACCTCGAGACATGATACACTAGACACGACACACAACATCATCTCAGGTTGTGCCCATTCAAATTGAAGATTACATTTTCACCAACCAAAGAAGGGAGCAAAGAAAGAAGGGATGCAATGGTTGTGTAAAGAAAGGGCACTTTGTGGAAGATTGTCTAATGAACAAGCCCACACCCAAGGACAAGAGCAAGAAGGCATGCAAGGCTAAAGCCCTCACATCAATCAAGACTTGAGATGATTCAACAAGTGAAGATGAATCCCAAAACAAGAGGCACGACCACAAGCATTCATCATCAAGCTCTTCTCACATGTGCCTTATGGCACGAGGTAACATTGGATGCTCAAGCTCCGGTGAGAGTGATAGTGATGATGATGAAAAACCTTCTTGCTTGCTAAAAGTGTCCATTTGAAATTTGCATTAAACAAAGAAAACAAATTAGTGAACTTAAAAGCATGTACACTAATTCAAAGGAAGAAATAAAGAATAATTATGACGACACTACTTATAAAGAGCTCATGCATGTAATTGATAATCTAAGAACTAAGCTAGCTAGCTCACAAGAAGGACATGAAAATTTGCTCATCAAAATAAAAGTTTTTGAGGAACATAATAATGAGCTAACTAGCAAACTTGGAGCTATCAGTAGTACCCTCGAGGAACCTAAAATTGAAGAACCAATGTGTGAAACAATTAAAAAGGATGCCTTTGCTTCTTGCAATGATTTATTTAAATTGGACCCACCCCTTTGTGATCAAGTTTGTTTTAAGAATGTCATTGTAGAAACATGTTCACAAGAGATTACAATGGAGAGTCAGCAACTCAAGCAAGAAATGGCTCGTCTCACCAATGACTTGATTCAAGTAAAAGGCAAGGCGGAGCAAGGCCCAACCTCATCAAGATAAGGCCATCAAGGGAGTGAAGAAGCTTGATGAGGGAGCAACCATGGATTTCTACATGTGCCACAAGGAAGGCCACAAGTCCTATGAGTGCAAGGTGAAGAATGGGGGAGAAAAGAAGAAAGAGAAAAATAAAAGACAAACAAGCAAGCTCTCCAACACCTACACCAACAAGGTTGACAAGAAGGCCACTACACCATACTTGTTGAAGAAGAAGAAAATGACAAGGTGGTGGCCATCGAGGTGAACAAGCAAGCCAAAACACAAGAGGGGCCAAACAAGTTTGGTTGCCAAAGGAAACTATTTCAAACATGAAGGGCACCAAGAGGGTTTGGATCCCAAAGGGGAAGTGAGAAGTCCAATGGACTTTGGGGAATTTGGAGACTTGGCAAAGTTAGTGTGCATATCATGGAGTTCATCACATTGGATCATGTCATTGCCAAGTGGGTTAGTGAAAATTATGGACCCAAATTCCCCTTTCCATGTTAGGTAACTTGGTTTAATTAAATTCTTGCAATTTCAATTAACATCTAGTTCCTTTTATGCCTAGGTTTGCATTTGCATGTTTAAATTCTTGTTTTATGCATTCACTAGGTATATCGTATGGTAGGGTTGCTCGGTTTCACTCTTATTCCTTGGAGCAAACCTACATGGTTTAAAAATTTCTTAGGAGTACGGCACATAGCTCTAGTTTCCATTGATTTATCTTTGTGTGCCAAAGTCTAAATTGTAGATGACTGACCCCAAGTATCATCCATGAAAATGATCCCCACCTTCAAGTGGTGTCATCTTTCAAGTGGTATTTTGACCTTAAAAGTCAATGTGCATGTCTCCTTCAAGTATTCTATGCTTGTATGCACACTTTTAGGGGGAGGTTACTCTACAAGTTGTAAGCTTTGAGACTAACTTTGCTTTAAGTTTATCACTAGAAAACCCTAGGCGTGGCGTTGCCACCCGACTTGATGATCTTGCTTGAGTTTAAGATTTTAGTCCATAACTTTGTTGTTGGATGAAATGTAAGGAAAATGTTCATATTATTTCAAAATTTATAAATATATGTTAAGATTTATTCACCGGTGGTTTAAAGGTTATTTTTCGCCATGCTACAATTTTATGAGCTTATGTGCAGTTTGAGAATCTTTGTAGTTACTGCATATGATCTTACATGAACCCCCTAACTTAAGCCTACATATTCACTTGTCATTGTTACGAATAACAAACTATTAGGCATTGCTGGAAATTGAGCTAAAATTGTGGCCTAGGATACTCTGCGATTCACGAGTGACGAGGGTCGACATTCTTCCTTCAAGATGCTTAGACTAATGTTTTATAAACTTGCTTGTAAACCTAGAAGAGATATAATGTTTTGTCATTCAGCAAGACGTCAACCTTATACATAAATGTTTTAGTTTTAAAGCATTCTCCTAGTTTTTAGACTGTTCAAGACCTGTAGTGATCAAAATTGTTGACAGAGCTCGTTTTAATCTGATTCTATGC